CAGTCGTAGCCGCGAGCCCAAAGTTCTTGCAATATAACCTTGGCGACCATTACGAATGGACTGACAAACCCAAGTGGGTCAAATACCGCAGCAATCGTTCGTAAAACGTTACCACAAAATAAATAATAAGACCAGAAGTCTCACTCGATGTCGGAATCTTTGATGTTGATGTCCCCGCGCATGTCGCCTCGCGCATCTTGGCCGTGTCTCGTTTCCAGTGCCCTAAACAAGTGTAATTTGACAAATTTACATGTAAACATTAAGGAGTGAGGAAGTTAAAACGATACCAATCGAGTTTTAGAGCTTTGGTGACCATTTTAAAAGAATATATGATAAATTCAAAGGTAAGTCTATCGTATTGCATTGTCTTAAATGAATTCTCAGCTAAAATACGGCAATAAATGGATCATAAACTTAGCTAAATTTACTGTTGACAACGAGGTTGACAGATCCATTGCTTTTTTGCCTTGAATAGCTTTACCATAGTCATTTTACCTTAAAATGTAGCTACCGAGGATATCTCTAAGAGATTTTACACAGATTATTTGCAAAATCTCACGATTTAATCATGCTGATAACATGAAAATCCTTGTGCCATTCTATACTTGGCATAATCTCTACATCAATAGTTCACCAGTTCACTAATATAAATTCAATATATTTTTGAACCAGTCCATATATTATTATACACAATGTAGTATAGTTAATTTGACCATATTTGAGAAGTAAGGGTGTATTTCATTACACAGACACTGCTGAATTTTAGGTTACATGCCATTGGATTGATATATAAAAAACACTTGTAAAACACACACATTATCTTGTTGATAGAATAGTTATTTGCAGTATACTAACTGTTGGCATACTCTATTTCAGGGCTATCAATTGTTTTTGTCACTGGCAGTCTTTGAAATACAATCTTGCTCTGTGGCCTTTACTGACAAGTTGGCTTTTACTACATATGTGGCACTGACACTTCTTTAATTAATGCACCAGTCAGTGTAAACCCCCCAACCAGGGAGGGGCAGGGATTTTGACTTGGAGGGGTAGTAAAAAAGCGAAATTGTCCCCGCCCCCAGGGACGTCAATGTCCCCTGCATGTCTCTTAACCCCAGGAAAATAGTTTTGTATAATCATAGAATAGAATAGAAATAGATCAGCAATAGAAAATCAAATTCATTTATGTTGTTGTATTTAAACTTTTCTTGTCAAGAAAACTAAAACAGCAACACAGGATATATATGTTAACCACTGTCCAAGTCTCCCATCATCGGGGACAAATTTATAATCAAAACTGACCACTTTCCCCGCTAAACCTTCCGCCCCTCCCCGGTTGGGGGCAGGGATTTACATTGACTGGTGCATAACTAGATGATTGCATGAAGCATTGCATGGAAGTTGATTTATAATTAGTTTATGAATAAACTCACACTTTCATTATAATGGTTGATCAAATATATCATATGCATTTGATTGGTTGATGGTCCCTTAATGGTAATGGTGGTCAAATCTGAACCTATATAATGTCAATATGATTTGAACCTATATAATGTCAATATACTGGAAAAGTATCAAATTAAATTTTAATTGTCAATGTTGTGGAAAGTAAATAAATCAAACAATTCTGTTTGTTTCAACTAACTAGTTCACTATCACTTTGGTTTTCAAATCAAAGAATCTTTAACCTGGTTGAGCTTTTGAAAAAGTAGCTGATTGATTGAACGCAAGATTATTTTACTCTGTCTAACGCCAGACAATTTCACTCGTCAAGGGGAAAGTGCTGCCACTCAGTGAACTCAATCAGAGCTCAATGAGCAGCAGCACTCTCCCTCGATAAGTAAAATCATCTGGCATTAGATGAAGTGAAATAAACTAGTAAAGTAGGGTGCATTGGGGCACAATGCAGCTTACTGGGTTAACTGGAAAATATATTTATTAAACAATATACACCCTATACTTTTATTTCAATTCACAGCATGATTTAGTATGCTTATGTCTATTTGACCCAAGTACCTGACAGGAATGATATTTGAATCACACCTGTATTCATTGAACAAAGCTAATTTAAATGTACATTAATTGTACATGAACCATGTAAATGTAAAAACTAGCTAGAGCAAAAACACACCCACACAGCTTTGTTTTTGTATTTTTCTTGAGAAGGAATAACTGAGACTACTGAGTTACAATGAGACCAGTATCAACAATTTCAAAAAGGTATTGTACAAAAATATTACAAACATAAGACACTTTAAAGACAGAAAAAACACAAGTATGTCACTACAGAAACTGTATTCTGTGATATAGATGATATTGCTTTAAAGAAACTTGCAGCTTTTAGCAGTTGTGTAAGGGCCTGTTTATATCGAAACTGGCTGGCCCGCTAAGTGAGACAGCCCGGTAAGTGAGATCTCGCTGTCTACTTATTTTTATAGTAAAAATTATAATTAAAATTGTTTCTATGTACAAGCGGGAGGCCCTGTTGCAGAGACCAGGATGGAAATTTCTCCATATAAACAATCACAAGCAGGCTAGCCCAGTTGCCAGGATGAAAGTTCAACGATACTGCTGCAAGCTATTTTTAACAACTGTCAAAACAATGTCAAAACAACAACATTGTCCCGGGTAAGCAGGATGAAATTTTCTCAAATAAACACAAGAGAAATCATCCTGCGTATCTACCTTACCGGGCTGTCTCGCTAAGCGGGCCAGCCCGGCTTCCATACAAACAGGCCCTAACAATCTCTGTCAGGCAATTACAATGTTCTAATGTCCAAACTCTAAAGTATTATAAACAAGCAGGACAGACCACTTGTTGCTAGTATTAAAGTCATCAACATGTGATATCGACATTACAGTTTAGTAAATTGACCCTTACTAAAAGGTATTGAACAATCAAACTCTCGACGAAGCAAATTCGGTTTTATAAAATTATATTATTGAAAATCGATCACAGTTGTATACGCGGTCTAGTCTCTCTCACAGTCACACAGTCACTACATTCCTATCTTTTAACTCCTCTTCATAATAATATAAATGTGTCAATCATGCAATGTTCGTCCCTAATTAAAGTAATAATTAATCCTGCTATTAAATCACAAATATTAAGATATATATAGACAGTCTCCGACAACAGTGTATAAACTAAAGTAATTCAGCTTCTGCACATGAAGCAACTTTAAACACTATCCTTGAATCCTTACACTTTATCAATTCATTGAAGTTTGTCATTCTATTTGTAGTATTACATCACAAGACATATTCTATTTGTAGTATCAAGTCACATCAGGATTTTATAATCTAGCGTTTTTGGACCCAAGGGATCTAGAGTTCTATCTTGTTAAAACCTATCCAAGGAAAAACAAGAAAGGGATATTGAAGTAATGGTGTTTTTGAGCCAAATAAATTCGAATATCCACAAGTATAAAAGCAGAACTCCGTATATACCGGAGACAAAATGGCATCATAGCGAACACATTTTAATGATGCTCAAATTTATATTCAATGCGCTATATTTTTAAAAATATGACTCTGTTTGCTTTCTAAATACAACAAAATTACTGCTTTACCTTCTGTTCAAATAGTTCCACAGATAAATCGAAGTCACAATTCGTACTACTTGAAAAAAAAGCTGGTTTTACTGTAGAAATGACAACTTCCCAATATAATTTTCTATTGTCAACACTGCATTACACTTGTTTAGCTCGCGCATGCGCAGTATAAAAGATGGGACATGTTTCCGCTTGAGTAAGACTTCTGGTCCTATTATCTCTTCTGTGTGGATATTGATGGATATTGATGAAATATGAGCTTTTTCCATTGAACTGAATAGAACTGGAACGCTACCTCCAACCGGAAATTCGAATGCCAGTCCCAGTCTCTTCACGCATGCGAAGAGCGCTCAGTCTGTCAATCATGATATAAACACGAGTGATCTGACCTCCAGACACGCTTGTAGCACAGAATACTACACAAAAGTCTATCTCCATTTTTTTTGCGTAAGCTCTATTCGACATGATCATGGTCATGATTCGTCACTCAGCAAGTACCGTAAACAGAAGCAGTCCCCCCCTGGCGCATGTCCAGGAGGGTGTCTGCTTCTGTTTACGGTACTTGCTGAGTGACGGAATCATGACGAATAACGTTTACGCAAAAACAATGGTGATCGACTTCTGTGTAGTATTAATTCTGTGCTTGTAGGCGGTTTATTTGAAGGAAGTTTTCAATGTCTTTTTCTGTCTTTTTCGAATTCTTAAAAGAGGTTCTGTCACAAGGGGCCCCACTATGAGTTATGATTGAAATAATATTGTATTTATTTTCAAAAACCTACTTGAATTCCTTGATAATCGATTATTTCTTCTCTCGAAATTCTGTAAACATATTAAACTGCTTGAATCATATTATACTATCACTCTACATGAAGTATAAATGAACTTGTCAGCGATCATCTATACTTCATGTTGAGTGATAGTATAATGATTCAAGCAGTTTAAAATGTTTACAGAATTTCGAGAGAAGAAATAATCGATTATCAAGGGATTCAAGTAGGTTTTTAAAAATAAATACAATATTATTTCAATCATAACTCATAGTGGGGCCCCCTGTGGTTCTGTCTACCGCTCACAGCGTACGTGCATTTGGTCATTTTGTACAGCAATGCCGGGCAATCGGAAGCAGATTGTTTGGTGTGTGTATGTGTATGTGTGTGTGTGTGTGTGTGTGTGACAGTGTGTGTGTGTGTGTGTGTGCGTGGGGTAGGGGGGGGGGTGCTCGTCTACCAATGAAACCCTTGCGTTTTAGAAACCTCGAAAGAACATATAGCGGATACAAACCATATGAATGTGATATTTGCAAGAAAAAAAATGTTCTCAATCGAGCAGCATGAGCTCCACCTTTGAATTTACTATATGAGTAAATTCTTAAACACGTCCGAATTTATCATTATGATAAATTCGCGACACATTTTGAATTTATCATAATAATAAATTCGCGGCACGTAACACTAACCCTAACCCCAACCCCTAACTTTTTGGGTTTTTTTAATTTTTTTAACTTTTTTAAAAATCTAACTGTTTAAACTTTTTTTGCTTTTTAAAACTCTTTTAAGACTTTTTTAAAAACTATTTTTTTGAAAATCTACCAGCCTCCCTTTTAGTGCCATTACATTTATAACAAAAAGTCTTGTCTAATGCTTGTGGTTTTATGATTAACTCTATTGATAAATTCAAATTGTGCCGCGAATTTATCATTACGATAAATACGGACGTGTTTAAGAATTTACTCATATAGTAAATTCAAAGGTGGAGCTCGTGTTGCAATCGAGCCATTTAATTGCTCATAAAAGAACATATACTGGAGACAAGCCTTACACACACGTGCGATGTTTGCGATAGACGATTTTTCCAATCCAGCCACTTACTAGAGAGAAACACATAGTGGAGAAAAAGTGTCGAGGAACTTATCATTATCGTGCAATTTCCATGACCAGGAAAGTACTAAACCACAGGACGTGCTAGTAAAGGTTAATTAATATAGAGGAACCGACATGTCGCTCAGACTCCTACATGCAGTTTGACACGCGCGTAAGGAGCAGAGAATGCCACCCCATACCACTGTGAAGCAGGTCAAAATTTCGAGACCGAAGAATTAACTAATATAGGATATGTTTGTTCACTATGTAATTTTGCATTTGATACTTAGGAAGGGTTCAGTCCATATGTAAACAAAGCCTTTGTTTACATTTCGGTATTCAAAATATTGAACTTTATTCGACAACTATATTTCCATGCTTCTACAGTATAATAAATGATCAAGATACAACAATCAGGCTTTGCAAGAACATAAAATGAAACAAAAACCTAATTAAAGTGTTTATATCACGGCAGGAGACTCCTATGTGCGCATGCGCAGATCGGACTGTGCCCCATCTTTAAAGGTACATGTATATGGCAATAGTTTGTCTTAATTGAAAGAACATTTAAAATGAGATATAAACTTCCTTTACAATTATTCCGTATCTTGATTGGTTTTCGAAATAAATCGTCTTCTTTTAATTGATCAAAAGCAGCGTACATTCCGCCATCTTGGATGTGCATTTGATATGCATACGTCACAAGTTGGGTAAAAAGCGAAATTTTTATCTTGCAAACCACATGTCATTATCAATATGAAACTCAATTTTCCGAAGTCTTTTTAGTACTCAATTATTAACTGGCTCACAACATTTTAAGAAACTTTTCGAAGAAATTTAGTCACACATGAAGACGTTTTAACAAGTTTACCCTGCTTTTGACGTCATCAAAAACTCAGTTAATTAGGCAATTATAATACCAAGATGGCGGACTGCATACTGCTTTTGGTCAAAGTATTTCGAAAACCAAGCAAGGTACGAAAAAGTTGTAAAGGGTCTTCATACATAACTTTAAAATTTCTTTCAAATAAGACAAACTTAATTTTTATTGGCATCCATGTGCAAGCTAATCTTGGCTAAGGAACTAGCTGTGTGACATCTCACAGTTTTCAAGAACAAGAAATCCAAACGATATAATACTTTCGCAACTTATCGTGTTTTGTAGACAGAGACTAACGACATCTAAGCCTGTAAACCAAATAAGCTACACTGACCAGCTGGATGTATGACATAGATATTTATATATTTATAACGTTTCATATTATATGCTTTATTTTCGGTAAATATGTAAGACATTACATTAATATTAATTAGTAACTAAGTAAAGTTATTTATGTGTAAAACAAATATGATTCTGCAGTGACCAGTTCACATTTATGACGTTTCATATTATATACTTCATCAGTATAGTCAGTAAATATGTAGGACATCACATTAAGTGATTCACTGTTACGTAAAGAGTGCAAATTAGTATTAATTTGCATTTAAAATTATTTTCCTATAAATTATGGCAAATCAGTTAGGCAAATGATTCAACAGAATTTAATGTACTGTCAATGGTTGCTTTTGACAGGCAAAGACAGATGGAATGAAACATAAATGCCGTAGGGGTGGGCAGTGCCGAGTTTGGAAATAAGGCGCATTTCATTTCTTTTGCGGTTATCATTGCTTTCCGAAATGGGACAGAGGGGATCGAATTTTAATATCTGAGATACTGTTACTGCCACTACTAAAATGGCAACATTGTCCCCAAACTGCTCAAAGATCTTCCAGTTTCCCCAATATTAAACATGCCACATCTACTATCTTCGAAAAGGAAGTAGCTATAGATGTCTGAGAGAGAGAGAGTAGATGTCTGAGAGATAGAGAGAGGTGGGATAGTCACGTTGAACAAAAAGGTGTCTCATTTCCAGAATTTTGGCTTGGAAATCCTCATCTTCACTGCAAATGCGACGAAAATGAAGGAACTGAGAAAAGGGAATCGACCGTTTGATATGGTTGGGGTGACCGGGTGGGAAGAGGAAAATGGCAGATTTGGGAGTCTGTGGACTTGTAGAACACAGAAATAACTAGTTTATTACCATTTGTTAATACAAGGATATCTAAGAATGATGCACTGGTCGAACTGATCTCCCATATGTGCTGGAGTGCTGAAAGGAAATTATTAACCAAGTACTTAACACGTTCCAATTCGACACTAGAACATGACGCTGTGCCTAAACAGTCATCTATGTACCTACCGAGGTAATCAGGGACGGGATCAATATATTGTTCGAAGATCTGTTTTTCAATAAATCCAACAAACAAATCAACATAGTGGGACCCATTTTGGTTCCTATGGCTGCACCACTTATCTGTTAGCAATGCTCACCATCAAGGGAAAATTTGTTGAGGGTGAGCACCAACTCAGCCAAACGGATCAATACAGCAGTAGATTGTTCCTGGTTAGGGCGCCTATCTAGAAAGAATTTGAGGGAACTTAATCCATCATGATGTGGAATGACAGTGTATATTACAAAAACGATTATATAGTTTGAAAGAAAAAATGAATAGAAAGAAAGGAAAACAACATCAGTAACTAGTTAATAAGTAAAGATTAATGTTAAGTGCATGGTTGGTATACAGTAGTTAAGGTTAATATTACATAACTAAAATAACTCAAGAGGGGTAGATCTAATATTAGCATTAAGGACAGGGTTAAGTTGAGATATTAATAGGCTTTCACGGATACGAATATCCCACTCAGAAGTGCCTGATGATACGATTTTATTATGTTTGGATTTAAAGTTATTTGCTGGGCTCTGCTCTTTATCTTTAAACTAAGATTTCCGCCTGCATGGTGTATCAATTTCCACTACCAACTGTTGTTGCGCTGTCGGGCTTAATCAACACAATCGACATATAATAATAAAGAAAATGCACAAAAGTTAGCAAATATTAAGAGAAAATTAATTCGATTAATGACATTTAACTCCTATTTGGAACACACTGAATCATGAAGAGTTGGACTGATATTAGATATTTATAAATTGAATAATTATTTCACTACTAGTCTGTTTATGATGCTTGTGATGCTATTCTGAGTGTATATCCTAATATCCACACCGGGCAAGCTTGAAAAATATGCCTGGCCACGGTGGGAATCGAACCTATATACGACCTTTGGAATACCACATCACAAGCATCATATTCAGCTGAGTACATTACACCAACACATGCAGAAAAAATCATAGTCTGTTTATGTTTCGATTTTATCAACTGAAGAATTTACTG